GTTCCATTATTTTAAGCTGGCAATATATTTAGCCATTGAAACTATTTTAATAGTGATATAAGAAAATGGAAGCATATCAGAGAATAAGAAATCGCAAATACTGTTTACAGGAGTCAGTGATACTCAACCAGGAGAAACCAAGTCTAAGAAAAGATAAAACACTGTCTTCACTTGGCCCTGGGCTTGTTTTTGAGAAAATGAATGACATGTATTTCTGTGTTTCCCGCCCTGGCTTGGAGAATTTAAGTTAAGCAAACAGATTTTGATACAATAAGGAACAACTGAAGCTGTCTAAAATTGGGGTGGATTGTTCCTACATAACCTGACATTTGCTATATGATTAACAAGTCAGAAGGCAATGTCTCACAGAGCTCTTACTCTGTGCAATGTGTTGTGCTCAGGCAGGCCAACTCCTGTTTCTTCAAAATTGATCTGCCAGTTTGTGGATGAGGGGCTAATTGAGACAGGGGCTAAATTGCTGAGACTAGCCTTAAACTTGCCTGAGCCTCCTGCCTCAGCCTCGATGGGATTACAGGTGTGCATCATGCCTGGCCAGTAGTCCATTCTTTTCGTATTTTTCATTGCAGGGAACAGCAAAAAAACAAAATTTTTTTTGTTCTTTCCTTTTGTAGTGCAGGGGATAAAACCTAGAGCCTCACACATGAGAGGTAAGTGCTCTACTTCTGAGCTATACCTCATAGTATATACAGTGTTCCCTACTTTGTGATCAGAGGATAGAGAAAAGGAATCCCCAAAGTGTTGATGTGGATATTTTATAAATAGACCTAGTGATAATTGAATATTCCTAAAATAATACCTGAGCATTCTGATCAGAGATTATGCCCATCTCCTACCAACTCTCTTAAAGTAACTTCATCTTCCTACTTTGAATTTGGATGTTGTGGGGATATTTACAGATAAATATTTACTAGCAAACACTATAGCACCTGAAACCCTAGTCTGTCCCCCAGCTCATTTACCATGCCCCATTTCTTGAGTGTCTGTGCTACTCAAAGGCTGTACGCTGGCCCTGTTCAAAAGACAGGACTTCTACTAGATTTGTGGACCATATGTCTCTATAAAAAATACATTTAGAGCCAATGTTATTTAACTCTCATTCAAGAGAAATTTGGAACTTCAGTAGTTTGATTTAGTAAAGTAGTTTCAAATGAGTGGAATGTTTAGGGGTAAATGAGGGAAAATTAGACTCATTCTCAACTGTTTTCTAGGATCTATCTATTACAGGATTTTTTTTTTTTTTTTTAGGAAACCCATAACAACTATGGTCTATGTATTAAGCAAGTTAAGCAGCTCATTACTTGTGGAGTGCTTGTGTCACAGACTAGGTGTCCCTCCATGAGATGGTTCCCCTCTCACTTGAAACAGGAAGATGAGGCTGTCTGCTGGCCAGCACTTGTCCTGAACAACAAGTGGTTCTTTATGCTACTACTGAGTGTGGATAGGACAATCTCTCAGCTTTTGATTCAAAGGTTATAGATTCCAGCAAGTATTTTCTTTCTTTCTTTTTAAAGTATTATTATTATTTATTTTTGTGGTGCTGGGAATCAAATCTAGGACCTTACACATGCTAGGCAAGAGCTTTATCACTGAGTTATACCTCCAGCCTGCCAGCAAGTAATTTCTGCCAACTGAACATATTTACAATAGTCCTCAAGGTAGAACTGTTGTAAAGACATTGATTTTATGAGTCCCCACAAGGGAAACCACCAACAGCTTAAGATTCCCAAAGACAACTGATTTCTTTATTGTCAAGAAGCACAAGGAGCTGGATGTGGCAGTGCATGCCTGTATTCCCAGGGGCTGGGGAGGCTGAGGCAGGAGGATCCAGTTCAAAGCCAGCCTCAGCAAAAGTGAGGTGCTAAGCAACTCAGTGAGACCCTGTCTCTAAAGAAAATACAAAATAGGGCTGGGGATGTGGCTCAGTGATTGAGTGCCCTGGGTCCAATCCCTAGTACCAAAACAAACAAACAAACAAACAAACAAAAAAACATACACAAGGAATTGCAGCTGCATTTATTGAGCACTTACAGTTACTATGCACTGTTTCTTTTATCTTCATATAACCTTATGAAATCAGTATAAATATTTTCATTTATATATGAGGAAACAACTCATATAGTTAAGTAACTATTAGAATTAAATTAAATCTCCTAGGAAAAAGAGTTTATATTGCTTGCTGTTTTGTGTATAGCAGACATTCCATAAATAGTTGAATAAGTTTTTATATGTGACTAAATAGAGCACCATCCTTCTTAATACTTTGAGCCCCTTAACCATTTGTTTGTTTGTTAATGATTTTATTTTGAGGTTTTTTTTTTTTTTTTTTTTTGTGTGTGTGTGTGTGTGTGTGTGGTGCTGGGGATTGAACTCAGGGCCTTGTTCATGCAAGGCAAGCACTCTACCAACTGAGCTATATCCCCAGCCCAACTATTTGTTTTTTTAATCATCTTTTATCTAATGGAAAAATAGAAAGCATTTCATTTATTTTGCCTGTATGCACTTTACAAGGGAAGAAGCACACAGCTCATCACAGTGTCTTATTAATCCCACCCCCAAATGACTGAATTATTTTCCCAACTTTGGAAACAAGTTAACTGAATCTCAAGTCAGAATTCAGTGGTTTTTTGGTTTCCCCATCACACCAAGTGAGACAAAGAAATGATCAAAGGTGTGTATCAAGAAAGATCTAGTCAAATTAGAAGAGACGGAGTCTAGATAAACCAGATGGAATGGTTAGTCCTCAAAGAATGGCCATTAAGTCAGTTATGTTGAGTGCAGTATTTTCCTGCAGTGATTAGTGCTAATCAGAATTAGGATATGAGACCAAATTCTGGTCTTCAAGAAGCTGTGGACCGGGGCTGGGGATGTGGCTCAAGCGGTAGCGCACTCGCCTGGCATGCATGCGGCCCGGGTTCGATCCTCAGCACCACATACCAACAAAGATGTTGTGTCCGCCGAGAACTAAAAAATAAATATTAAAAATTTCTCTCTAAAAAAAAAAAAAAAAAAAAAGAAGCTGTGGACTTTTCAGGAAGATAAGACACAGATTCAGGGAAAGTAAAATATCAGTGCAAGAGAATTAGAAAGAAAACCCTCAAAAGACTGCAGTGGTTATTAAGAAGTGATTAATGTAGGCAATAAAGATTTCAGAAAAGGAAGTGATTACATTTGCATAAATTTCTGCTGACCTCCGTATTTTCATAAAACATCTTTACTATTAGCAGGGGAATTACAATGAAGTTTGAGAGAGTAACCTGCCTTTAAGTAGCTCACTTTCTTCCCTGGAGACAGGAGGATAAAGAGAGAGTCTGCAGGAAAGCTGAGGAGAAAGCCAGAGACCTGATTACCACAGCAGGCAGGACAAGTGCTTGGAGATCTCACCTGGCTACCAAGTGTGTATAGGATCCAGAATTAAGGTGCAAGATCTGGTGAGGGCCTTCTGGCTGAGACCTCCAGTGGAAGGGGAGAGTGCTGACTCCCTTTCAGGAGTAGTAGCTTTCAGTTCTTTCTGGCGTTTGCCTTTGAAAACTGTAAAGAACTTGCATCAGTGGTTTTCAACCTTGGCTGCTCATGAAAATTACCTGGGTAGTTTTTAAAAATACTGCCAGCTGGTACCAAAATATACTAATAAATAAATAAATGCTGCCACCCGGATCCTTTCCCCAAATACTGTTAATTTCCTTGGTCAAGGTTGATTTTTTGGTAATTATAATTATATAATGTGCAACCTAGTTTGAGGATCATTGAGCTCCTGGATATGATAAAGGAGAATAATTTGTTGGAAAAAAAGATTTCTTGGAGAAGTAGGGGAAGAGGGAACTTCCCTGCTTCAATCTAGAGATATATCCTTGATTTTCTTACCCTGGACTAGTAGTAGTTTGATCTGGCTTCCTGAGAGTTCCATTGGGAAGGTAGGAAGACTCCAGAGAGAATGGCAATGTAGTGGGGTGGTGGGGATACAGCTCAGTGGTAGAGCATGTGCTTAGCATGTGCAAAACCCAGGGTTCAATCCCAGCACCAGACAAAATAAAAGAATGTGGTGAATCTAGGCCAGTGCTTCTCACTGGGATGTGCTCACATATAACTGGATCTTGTTAAAATACAGATTCTGAATCAGTTGATCAGGGATGGTGCCTGAGAATATGTATTTCCAACATGTTCCCAGATGATACTAATGCTGCTGACTATCAAAATGACAAGGATATACATGACTAGGCCTATAAGTCATATCTTTAATATTCTCATATACATTTCAAGCATAGAACAAGAGGAACCTTATTTTGTCAAACCTGAAGGGTCCCATGGACAGGAACAATGGACATTCCATGGTGACCCAGTTGATTAATGACTAAGGTGTAGATGGGCCCAGTTAGCAAAGCCATACAAGCTAAGAGGGAAGCATTTCCCTACTGGGGAAATCCCACATTAGGGTCCTGACAGATTACAGATGGTCCACTCAAAGGTATGACTAAAGAGTTTCCTTAAGGGAGTATTTACAAGGTTGGGACAGGGTTAACAGAAACAGACAAAGGATTATAAAGCACCAACCCTCAGCACAAAGGGGAAGAACAGGGGGAAAACATGGAGACAGAGACACCATGCAACTGTTGCAATTAGTCACTTGGGATAAAATGGCCCGTCAAAGATAGATCCTGAGGAGTAAATAACCCAACATTGCTCTTCTCTGGCAATTTCACTCTACTGATTCCCAACTCAACTAGAAATCAGAGAGGAAGGGAATCTAGTGGATGCAGTCATCAGTCAGTCTCCTGGGCACGAGTAGCATGAAGTATGAAGGGCAAGATCTGGTGGTAGACACATGCAGCAAACCTAGCACAGTCCTCAATAGTGAGGGACATGATCTGCCAGCTCAGTTGGTATGGAAAATAAAGAAAATGACACCAGAGTTTGGGTCTGAGAGTCTTAAGTCCTTATCAATGGGAGCTTACCCAAGTGTATGAGGCATCCTTATGAATGACAGATGGGCTGCAACCCCTACAGTTGGTTCTTTGGGCACAAAGGCAATTGTTGGAGAATGGTAGGCAGAAGAGAGATGGCCTTTCAGAAGTTGCTGCTGATATCAGAAATGGTTGAGAATAAGCCAGAAATGCTTTGAAACCTGATGTCAGGTGAACAATAGAAGAAAGAGAAAATGCAATCTTTTAAAGTTTGCAGATGACATGTCTTGGGAACTTCTCAGGAAAGAAAAAAAAAACAGAAAGGGAAGAGTGTGAAAAGTTATCTTTAGGACTCCCACCTCCCACTCCAATTTTTTTGAAAACACAACTAAACTAAACCTCTGACCTTCTTTCTGGGAAAACAAGGACGTAACTGAAGAATTTCAGTCCAGGGGACAGRTAGTGGCACTTTCTCAGACCAGATAGGCAGCTGGAGAGTTCTCAGAGCAGAAATCATAACTTCAATTTGTACCTCATGGTTCTTTGGGCAGCCAGTGGGGGTGTTCTTTCTGAAAGATCCCAAGAGCAGGCTGTCAATACAGAGACTCTGGGGCCTTCATCTGCCTACAAGTCCTTTAATCTGCCATCAATGCACAGGCATAGGGACAGGTCAGGAGAAATTGAGCTTTGGAGGGGGAGACAGTGTTAGAAATAGAGTCAAGGTCTTCTTGACCTGGAGAGTTTTTTCTTTCTTATGTTGCCTCTGAGTGTCTCATAGGTGAAGGGTTTTTGATACCCTACTGGGAATTGTTTAAAGAACTGAAGCAATTGTTTAAAGAACTGAAAAACAGACATAATACCCAATATTGTCAAGGGTGCAAAAAAGAGGTTATTCTCATACATTTTCTTCTGGAATAAAAATTGTTTAACTCTTTTGGAGAATAATTTGACGGTTCATTTTATAAACTTTAAAATGTGCACAACTTTTGACTCAGCAATTCCTCCTCTAGAAATATGTCCTAAAAAAATAATCAAAGATGTACACAAAAACTTAATTAAAAATGTGCACCTCAGTGTTGTTTAATAGTGAAAAATTGGTATCAGGGAATAATGAATGTTAAGATTTTACAGAGTTGAGGAGGGATACATAGGTGTTCATTTCTGTATCAGTTTTCTATTGTTGCTGTAAGAAATTACCAAAAATTTCTTTTAAAAGAATACAAATTTGGGGCTGGGGATGTGGCTCAAGCGGTAGTGCACTCACTTGGCATGTGCAGGGTGCTGGGTTCGATCCTCAGCACCACATAAAAATAAAAAAAATAAAGATGTTGTGTCCACCGAAAACTAAAAAATAAATATTAAAAAATTCTCTCTCTAAAAAAAAGACTACAAATGTATTATCTTATAGTTCTGTATTTCCAAGTTCAATCAGTTTCTCACAGCTAAAATTGAGGAGTTGGCAGGGCTGTGTTCCATCTGGAGGCTCTAGGGGACAGTTTATTTCCTTGCTTTTTCTATTCTGTAAAGGGTGCCCACCCACATTCCTTGGCTCATAGCCCCTTCCTCCGTCTTCAAAGCCAGCAACATAGCATCTCTCAGATGCTTTCCTTGGCCATATTCTCCTTCTCTCTCCTTTCTCTTCCACTTTCAAGGACCCTTATGATTATTTTGGGTCTAAACATATAATCCAGCATAACCTTTTAAAAGTCAACTAATTAACAACCTTAATTACACTTGCCCAGTTACTAGAGATCTTGGGGATTGGGACATTGATATCTTTGGGGGCCATTATTCTGCCTATATAATTGTATTATTCTATATACTTATCTGTATGACAGTATTAAAATTTATTAATATTTTAAATACCATAGTTTAAAGACTCAACATCCAATTCAGTGTATGAATGGAATGAGATATACATACATTATATAGTGATATATATATATATATATATATATATATATTCATATATATCAATGTCACATAATACATATCATAATATATATCCATATATCCACCCATAGGATAATTTCTATGTGCCCATTAACAATCATAAGGCAGGAAAACACATAGTATTAGGGAGTGATATTCATTATCGATTTAATGAGGAGAAATTTAAATCTACCAAAGATAATGCACAAGATAATCCCAATCATAAAAATTCAAAACCAAAAATAAACCTATGCAAGTGAGTAAAAAATATTTTGAAGGATATGGGTCAAAACTTAACAATGTTTATTTCTGGATGGTAATCTTAATCTTCTTTTGTTTTTCTGCATTTCCCCAAATTGAATATTATATCTGTATTCTTTTTGCAAAGAGAGAGAAAAAGTAATTAGGAATGTCTTGTTGGGACAATTTTCCAGTCAAGCTTCTCCCTAGTTTCTTAGTGTTCAGGCACACATGCTCACGCCACCCTTCAAGCATTCCTTCTGTCAAACACACTTCACACCTGGCTCTATGCGGTATTCGCCGCTTTTTCAGGCTGGAGTTGTCCACTCTAAAAAGTATGCACTCTAAAAAAGTATGGCAGGAAGGGGCCTCTAGGTAGAGGGCGCACAGTAGAGAATGAGTGCTGCTTAATAACAGTTTTAGATCAAAGCAAACCCAAGGCACAGCAGCATCCTGTTGAGAACTTCGAAACTTGCACCTTGGAAGGCAGATGCAAAGATAGGAACCTGTTTAATAATCTTTCTGCTACATATTAATTGTTAATAACATTGTATTTCTTAACACAAAAAAGAACAGAGAATACTCGCACCTCTTCGCGTGCCTAGAGCAGGGCGAAACGAGGGCGGGCCGGTTGTGAGAGTGGCCGCCGGGTCCAGCTTCCCTCTCCCGGCCTAAGCTCGCCGAGGCCCCCCAGCCCGGCACACTACAGCCTGAGCCTGGCCCAAACGCCGTTGACTCAGGGCGGAGCCTGCGGCCTAGCAGCAGGTTGGTGAGGATGAGGACAGCAGCACCCTCGCCACCCTGGGAACCTTCGTTGGCCTAGACCCGCTGACCCAGACTGAGCGTCCTCACCACCGAGAAGAATGCCTAGAGTGGACGAGCCCGCCCCACCGTCCGCTCCGCTCCTCCCAGCCACCTCTATCCCGGAAGTTGTGCCGAGCGCCCGATCGCGTGCTGCTAGCCAGAAGAGTCTGTCGCCTGCTGGATCTGGACGGACCGTGCTTGCGAAAGCATCACCATGCCTGTGAGTTGTTTACTTCGGCCTCAGGATTTATTTCGGGCTTTCGGTCTGTCCGGGGTTATAGGGGGCAGTTGAGCCTAACGGCTTCCCTTGACCGCGACGCTCCCTGCCAGAGGTGGCCGGCGGCTGGAATCGCTGGGCACTTCTCGCGTGTGAGGGCTTGTTGTGACTTGCCCGGGCAGCGCGGCATGGCGGGCCCTGCACGGGCGTGGAGCCGGGTGGACCCGGAGCCGCCCTGGACTGCCATCTGGAGTCGGTGGCTAGGAGTGGAACTGTTCCCAGCGTCACTTGTTTTGGGTAGGCGCCGACGAGACTGTGATCGTTGGAATCTTTTTTGGTTTTCTGGAGCTTGGTGGTTCTCGCCCCTGAAGCTTTCTCTGGGAGGCTGTTTCTTGCTTGTTTCCTTTTCAACATTGCCTTCGCAGTTTTACGTACKAATTCCGTCCAGGGCGGTCTCATCTCAAGTTTTGTCAGATCAGATTTCTGCCCCCAGGGCAGAAATCACCAAGGCGTTGGCGAGCACTTACGACTTCAGCGGTTTCTACTTTCAGCGAGTCCAGAGTCAGTCTTGTTAGCACCGCAGTTTTGTTTTCATAGAAGACTGTTATGTAGTTGAGTAAACAACGAGTTTAGCTTTTCCATTGGCGTTCTGATCGTCACAAAGCCCCATGGCAGGTCTTTGGAAACGCAAAGTATTGGCGAAAATGACCAGATTTTATTAAAATTTTAAAATATCTTAATTGTTATCGAGTATGACTGTTGTTCCTGTTTTGCATGTGTATTTCCTGTATGGTTAAATATGCCAGTATTTTGGTTAAACTCCAGTAATAATAATGTGCCTTTTTATTTAGTTGGCTAGAGATTTGCTACATCCTTCCTTGGAAGAGGAAAAGAAAAAACATAAAAAGAAACGGCTAGTTCAAAGTCCAAATTCTTATTTTATGGATGTAAAATGTCCAGGTAAAATTTCAAATTTTAATTCTTTTCCTACGGGAAATTTCTGAAGAGATTGCTCTTTTGTTATGTATATATATAGATGTTAGGATCCTCTGTTGACTAGAAATGAAATTACAGAATTGAAAATGTCACAAGGAATATTTTCATAATAATGTACTCAAGTCATTGTAGAAACATATTTGGGAAAGGTAAAGATGGGCATCCGAAGGGAATCTGATAATTGACTTAATAAATACATTAAGTTGTTCAGATGATGAGTTTTCTTTTTTATGATGTGATGAAAAGTTGATTTTTCAATGTAAGCCAGGCTGCCCAGTGTGGTGGCCATTAGCCATATGTGGCTACTGAGCACATTTGGCTGTGTGCAATCAAAACAGAGATGGTCTTTAAGGGTAAAAGGTACATTGGACTTTGAAGATGTAGCATTACAAAAAAATTGATTACATGTTGAAATGCTAGTATTTTTGAAATATCAAGTTTAAGAAAATATTAATTTTTTACCCTTTACCCTTTAAACAAACTTACGTGGTTACTAGAAAAGTTTGTAACATATGTGACTTGATGTTGGAACACTAAATCCTTACATGAGATAAATAAAACATTACTTTTTAAATAATATTTATTTACATATTACTAGATATGCCAAACAGGTGCTATGATTTCATCGGCTTTTCACTTTTAATATTGCCTTTTTTTTTTTTTTTCCAGGTTGCTACAAGATTACCACAGTTTTTAGCCATGCCCAGACAGTGGTTCTTTGTGTAGGTTGTTCAACAGTGTTGTGCCAGCCTACAGGAGGAAAGGCCAGACTCACAGAAGGTTTATCATTTGATACTTTCTAACCCAGTGATGAGATATTTTTAAAATTTTTCATTGTGGACTTTTTTAGTAAATAGTGCCCAGTTCATTTGGATAAATTCATGCTCTTGATTTTACAAAGATCTCCTTTATTGTTTTTCTAAATTTGGAACACTTTCTTTTGTACTTATTCACCCAATTTGCTTAGCTTGGAATAAATTAAAAATAAATCAGAATGGGAGCAAGAGTAACTACATATAATCCTATGATTTTAAAAATCATAGGATTTAAAAATTTCTCTTGTAAATATTTTGTTCCATATGTATTTGGCATATTTAACTTGTGATAGTTTTTTATCATTGCCAACTGAAGAAAAGATAACTATTATATAATTAAAGTGCCACAGGTTTCATTTTTATGAACAACTACTTAATGATTAATATAAAACTCTTTATTCCTCTTTCACTTTAGAGCAGTAAGAAAAAGTAATTTTGTATATAGTTTTTCATAGTAATATTTGCAGATTTACAACTTCATTATGATATGAAGTTTATTTTGGTGTGAAATTTATTTTGGAGCTGTGAGTTCTGTGTTGTTTTCACTGAAATAGTTACGAGGGTATTAACAGTAAATCCAAGGTCTATTTAGTGTGATTTGGTAAGATCTGAGTACAAAGTCAGCATATGATATTTAAGAGTAATATTACTCTTAAAGTGTATTTGTAAGCTTTTTGAAACCTTTATTTCATGGTATGATTTGGACTGATATTGAAGAGTAATATTACTCTTAAAATATATTCGCAAGATTTTTGAAACCTTTATTTCATGGTATGATTTTGGACTTTTGTGTCAAATACTGACATATGGTTCAAAGGTGCATCTATAGCAGTTTTCCTAACAGATCTGAGAAGAACTTGGAGTTAATTTTTGAGGAAAACTATTCTGAATAGTTCTAAAAAACTATCTTCAAAACAGTTTTTTATTGTTGAATTCAGGCTAATGGTCTAGACTCCATTATATGATTTGAGAAACCAGAGTGACAATTATGGTCATAGCAGAATAAACTATAATGGATTTATAATAGCAAATTTGTGATATAAAGGGATAAATAATTTGTATGTATATATCAATCTAATATTCCTAAAACTGAAGTTTTTACTTAAAACATACTTTTTGCTACTGAAGTTTTACCAAAGATGAAATAAACTTCATTTTAATATACTCTTGTGATTCCTTTGCAGGTTGTTCATTTAGAAGAAAGCAACACTAATGATCTATGCAACTTTCAGAATTTATGTTTTCTCACAGAAGCCTTATAAATAAGTTCAGTAATTCTAGTTACTCTTCCAAGATAATGTAATTACATTTGATTTTGTAAGGTATACAACAATGATCTCCTATTTTGGTGTTTTTCAATAAAGTTTTAATTATGGACAACCGCCCCCCTTGTCTTTTTTAAAGTATGAGTATGCTATCAATTTTTTATACTGTGTGTGTTTAAACATTTAAAAAAGGTATTCTGATTATTTYGTGTCTTACTAACATTTTCCAAGTTGCTGTATGTAGGACTGAATGTATCCTTTTAGGATATTACAGCTACATTTTTTACAACTGTAGACAGAAAGGATTCTGTCAAGTAATAGTATTTTCTGTTGACCAATGCTTACATTAATTTTATTTCAGAGGGGATGACAGAATAGCAAAATTTCTGCTATTTCTGTTCTACCTGTACTGGTTCACATCCTCCCTTCCATGTCGGATCTACTGCTTTTTGCATAGCAAAACCTCAAAACCTTAGAAAGAAATTAGTCCTGTCAAATTTAGTTAACCCATTAAGTGCCGAATTTTTAAATTCTCTAAATACATATTCAAATATTTCAAAATAACCATAAGTGGTGTATTTATGTTGTTCAGTTTAAGTTTTTATCTGGGACAATGGGACAAAATGGGTTAAAAGCCTACATTTTATACATTTGTCTTAGGGACACAGTTTTAATGTTGATTATTCTATAGGACTAGAAATTGAAATTGCTACCCCGAGCCCAGAATGCCCTCATCTTCAGTCTGCTCAGTGTTTTGTGTTCATTCATTACTTTTCAATTTTCTTATTTCACTTTTCGTGATATGTATTTAGAACAAAGGGGGCATTAAGAGCATGACTTTATTATGACGACTTTGCCTTTATAATAATTTGAAAGGTGGTATATTCTATTTGCAGCCAGATATATTAATTAAAATCTATGTATTATGTTTGTAAAATTTTTTTAAAAATTTTTATTCTAATTTGTTATATATGACAGCAGAATGCATTACAATTCATATTACATATATAGAGCACAATTTTTCATATTTCTGCTTATATACAAAGTATATTCCCACCATTCGTGTCTTTTTCATACATGTACTTAGGGTAGTGATGTCCATTCCATTCTATATATGTATTATTTAATGATTTTAAAAAAATTCAGTTGTTGATGGACTTTTATTTTATTCATTTATTTATATGCAGTGCTGAGAATCAAACCACTGCCTCGCATGCTGAGCAAGTGCTCTGCCACTGAGCCACAACCCCAGCCCTCAATATATATTTTTTAGTATGACTTTTTTTTTTGTGTGTGTGTGTGTGTTGTGTGGGGTGCTAAGGATTGAGCACATGTGCTCTGCTACTGAGCTACATCCCCAGCCTTTGACTTTAAATTCTTTTTTTCTTTTTTTAAAACTGAATTGCATCGATAAAATTGCATGCCACTACATGTGACTTTTTTGCTCTGGCAAATTTGTAGAGGTACACCCCCCCACACCCCACCCTCCGCCTTTGGGAAGGCAGGATAGTTTTTTACATAAACAGGTATTAGGGGCAGATATAGCTCAGTCTAAAACAAGTTCTAGTGGTTAATTCTTTGTGATTCTGGGAAAAACAAGAATAATAAAACAACTTCGTAGGGTTGTTTTAAAGATAAAACAAGATAACTTACAAAGTGGTTAGGTCAATGTTCTTACAGTAAATTCTCTGTTAATAAAAAAGGATATTATCTATTAAGTATTTTAAAGTTATTTTTCCCTAAAATTTACCCCTCATTAGCATAGTAGAGCACAATTGTGTTAACTACTGCTGTAAAACAAGCGACTTCCAAATTTAGTGGCTTAAAAAAATAATTACTCTTCATGATTATGAGTGACTGCCTTTAGCTGGAGGCACAACTGGAGTGGAAAATCTAACCTGGCTTTAGTCACATATCTGGCAGCTGGTGTTGCTGGCAGCTGGGTATCTTAATTCTCCAGTAAGCGAGTCTGTCTTTACATGGCATTCTTGGGGTAGTTTTTTTAGATAGTGAATATAGAAGCTTAAAGGTATCCTAAGGCTTAAAAGCAGGAACTTGTGCAACGTTATTTCTACCACATTCTATGGGTCAAAGCAAGTCAAAGCCAGCCAGCTTCAAGGGAGTAGTTCACCCAGCTCCACCTTTGGATGAAAACCATGACAAAATCATGTTGCAAACTTGCATGTACAATGAAATGGGAGGAAACTGTGGCCATTATACAGTCTCTTACCTTTGGGAGAACTCTAATATTGACCAAGGTTATTCATTCCCTAATCCATGAAAATTTCCACCATCAATCCTTAATGGAGTACTTTGTTTTCCCTAGTCTGAATAAGCAAAGTATAAGTGGGAAATTTATGTTAAAGAAAACACAAATGACCAATGAACATATACAAGTATGTCTAGCTTTCACTAACAGCAGGTAAATGCCAATAAAAATCCTACAGTTTTGCATATATTTTGCATAATCAAAAATTCAAAGGCTGAGGTTGTGGCTCAGTGGTAGTGCGCTTTGCCTAATGTGAGGCCCTGGGTTTGATCCTCAGCACCACATAAAGATAAATAAATAAAGGTATTGTGTCCATCTACAACTAAAAAATATTTTTAAAATTCAAGATTAGATGTTAAAAAGTGTTGCCATATACACAGGTCCAACCATATAAAACTGTCATATTCAAATGTTTCTGACATACAAGAACAGTAATTTCATGTGGTTCAACCCAAGAAAAAGATGTTTCTTACATTGTCTGTAGTGCCAATGTGATAGTGATGTTTTATAGCAGTCAACAACAAACTGGATTCATGTGTATCAACTTGTCCAGATCACAAAAACAATGTAAATTTAAAGGAATGTAGAAAACATGTATAATATGATACTATTTGTATGTATATAATAACAAAAATTAATACTACATATTAGATATGGATACATATGTATGGCTGTGAAAGTATCAAACAATGAAGTGGAAGGATATACACTAATCCCTGATGAGAGATGCTTGCTAGGCAAAAGGAGTGGGACTTTGATGGTTAAAAGGGTCTTCAGCCTTATCTACTTATTATTAATAAATAATTTTTTAGTTTTAGGTGGACACTATATTTTATTATATGGTGCTGAGAATCGAACCCAGGGCCTCAGGCATGCTAGGTGAGCACTCTACCACTAAGCCACAACCCCAGCCCCTATTTATTATTTTTTTTATGTTTATTTTTTTGAATTGTAGATAGACACAATGCCTTTATTTGTTCTCTTTTATGTGGTGCCAAGGATCAAACTCAGTGTCCTACACATGCTAGGCAAGCACTCTTATCACTGTGCCATAAACCCAGCCCTACTTATTATTTTAAAAAGACTAATTTGACTAGATGTTAACATTTTAAGTTCTGGGTTTTGGGAATATGGTTATTTGTCTCACGTGAAGCTTTTTGTATCTTTCTAGTATTTTTTTTTTTAAGTTTCACAAAAGTTCAACTTAACAGAAGAAAAATAAAGCAAATCATTTGTAGCCAATGATCAGCTTGATAAGTTTGTAAGTTTCAACAACCACAACAACAAAAAACAAACTTAAGTTGTTCTTTACCCTAATATTAAGGATCAGTTATGCCAGAGAGATCATTTTGTGGGAAATGAAGATTTATCAATACTAAGAAATCTAACATCATTAAGAATATAAGTAATTGTGGCAAAAATATCTAAGAGAAATTCTAAATTTGGGGTCTGTGAACTTCTGATGTTTGTATACTGGCTCATTTTCTGAGAAGAGTTTCAACAAGAATTCTAAAAAATTTTAAAAGCAACTACTAAATGTATTTAAAGGCTCAAAAAAGCTATATCATTAATATCATGATAAAAAGCTATATCATTAATATCAGAAACCTTTTAAAAATTACAGTTATTTTGATTTTTAGTGACAATATTTAATGCATATTTAAATTTTAAAATAGCTTTAAAAGAAGGTGAGACCTTTTATGTTTTTCAAAGAGGGCATGGATTGGGAAATTTGACAAACAGTAATACCAGACAGACATCAGGAGAAATAAGGAGATGAAATGGGTCTGTTACAGTGAGACACTCTATTTACACTTAAACCAACCCAGAACTATCTTTACTTCAATAAGGAGGTGAGTGATGAGATGGACTTAGGGCTCAGAACTTGTGAAAAATATTTATTAGAGTGTACAGAACTTTGACTTCTTTTTGAGTTTTCCTGAATTTAGTGGCACAGTGGTAGCCTCTAGGATACATCATCTATGCTGTGACAGCAAAATATTCCAATGTCAACAACACTATAATAAGCCATCCAAGGAGCCATTCCCAGATGGCTCCGAGTGATTTGCAACTTCTGGTGTTCATGCCTTTGTACAGTCCTCTCCCACAGTAAGTCAGTGTTGATCTTTGAATAAGATTAATTCCAAGCCTAGATTATAAAAACACTGTGGCTTTTGCCTGGTTCTCTCTTCATTTACTTTAGGGGAAGCCATAGTACAGTTAAGACAAGCTATGGAGAAGCCCAAGTGGTGAGCAACTGATACTCTTGCCAAAACCCAGTAAGAGAGGCCTCTGGCCCAAAGCCATGTGAGCGAGCCACTTTACAGTCAGATGTTCCAGCCTTAGTCAAGGCTTCGGTTGACTGAAGCCCCTGTGGACATTTTGTCTGCAACCTTATAGGAGACAGCTAGGACCGTCCAGCTAAGCTGCTTTGAACTTCTAAAACAGAGACTGTAAGAGGATATTAAGTTTGGGGGTAATTTTTTTCATGCAGCAATAGCTAATTTACACTATACCAAATGAAAAAGTTTGGACACAAAAGACCACATACTGTACGTATACAAATCATCCATAATCAAAAACCACAAAGACATACTAAGTTGCTGGTTACTAGGTATTGGAAGAAGAGAGGAATGGGGAGCAAATGCTCATAGAAACAGTTTCTTTTCTGGGTGAAAACATTCTGGATAGTGGTAATCTTGTGAATGCACTAAAACCACTGTATGCTTTAAAGGATGAGTCTTATGGCATTAACTATGCATTTTATCTGAACTGTACACACATAAACACAAACACACACACACACACACACACAACAAGAATCTGGAACAAAGCAGTGGATGGAAACTGGAAGGACTTTAAAGATAGTGTTAGTGAAAACATGAAGAGCCTTGAAGAAACTGTGATAGCTTTTGAGGATGCTATAGATGTGGACTTAAGGAAAGTAATAAAAATCTTATTACAGATTAGAGGAAAGGGAATTCTGTTTGTGTAGCAGCAGAAAGTGTAGCAACACTATTGCTTGCAGTAACACAAAATAGAATAGTGCCTCATGAACTGGGTGACCTAAAGGGGATTTCCAGACTCAGTGCTGAATGTGCCTCCTGAGTTCTTGCTGCTTATACCAAGGTACAAGAGATGAGATAAAGGAAATAAACAAATAAAAAGGAATAAATAATTAGTTTTTTTAAGTTCTATCTTCAGATGACAGATGATGCTAAAAATTAAGAAATGGCTCCAAGGCAAAGATAAAATCTAGGACACTTCCAGGAAAACATGATCTCAAGTTAATTCCAAAATAGAGGCTTATTTTGAAGGGCACTTGGGTGTAGATTTTGTCTACTGGCATAAACTGCAGTAAAATTAGCAGGATACTCTCACATTTAAAAATATTATATTGTCAGAAACACTGCTAATTAGATTGAAAGGGCAGATAAAGAGACCTTTGGCTCTCCTAACTTTAAGAAGCAGGAAACAGGCTGAGAAAAATCACTCAGCTGGAAACACATGCTACCTTACATGAATGAAGAATAACATCTGAACCAAGAGCCCAGAAAACAGTCAAAAGCCAAGCCTTAAGTAATAATCAAGGAGCTGCCAAGTTAGTTGCCAGAGGATTTTGGGATTGCCATGGACACCCTCTCAAAACTTTTTGAATAGGAGGGACTACAACAGTAACTCTACATCTGTTGTATAGTGTACCTGTGGGGAGCAAATAACTTGTCTTAGTTCACAGGTCTTAATATGAAAAGGAACTATATACTTGAATTACTATACTTAAGGAACTATCCAGAATTACTGCCAAGGAGATTTATTCACACTTAGACCTGATTTAGATGATAAGATGTTGGGCTTTGTGCTGTTGCTACAATGGGATGAAACTTCTGGAGGACTTGGGAGTTAAGTTTATTTTGCATGTGGGAAGGACATAAATCAATAGAGACAAGACATCAGACTGTGGCAGCCAGCATTCAAGCTGACTGCCAATGATCTCTACCTCATGAAATTTATACTTCATGTAGTCTCTTCAACATTATATTAGGTCCCATGTGACCTAGGAAATTTGGCAAGTGTAATAGTATGACTTCTAAAATATATTGACTTTAGCCTGATATGCTTACATTTGCTCCTGTGTGCTCTGTCATTTGCTAGGGGGAAACCAACTGCCATGACATTAAGATTCTCAAGCAGCCCTACAGAGAGGTCCTTGTGGTGACAAACAGAGACCTTATCTCACTTATTAGCCATAGGGGTGACTCATGGAAGCATTTCCTCTAGTGTCAGAGAACCCTTGAGAAAAACTACAATACCTTGTCTGCAACATTGTTGGAGACTGCAAAATACCCACCCAACAATATTACTTCTCAATTCCTGAGCCTCAGAAACTGTGAGATGATAAATGTTTGCTCTTTTAAGCTGTAATAGATAATATACAATTTCTCATAATCTTGTTTCAGCTGTCATATTAAAAGGTCAATACACAGAAGCTCCTGCTGAATGAGATTTCCTCATTACACATTCAAAAAGTACATCTTTTTATCAGAATATTTTATTTCAACAGTCAACACTTTTTTCAAAAAGTAGAAACTATAGTTACTTCCCTGAGTATAAAGAACAAATTCTATAATAAAAGACAGTTACAAAATTAAGCAATTACAAGTACATAATTTTCTGCATTCCACTGAAGTCTATTACAAATTTATTCATAAAAATCTCATATTTTGGAATTTTAATGATTAAAAAAAAGAACAGGTTATTTTGCACCTGTGATGTTAAGGTATCACTCTGATCTGTCTTTATCAAATTCCARGGCAATCTTTAAAGCAGTGCTATTGAGGCCAACAGACTGCATGTTACATATGATAGAAACAATTATTCCCCTTGGGGGGACTTTGTTATTTATAACTTCTGTATTCAGTTCTTCAGGAAGGACTAGCAGGACACTACTGGCTCCCACTGCACCTCCAGTATGTGAAGCATAATGGCGTTGCTTCCTACAAGAACCATATGTTTGTTTTGTTTCTACAACACCCCATGCCATTGCATATTTACCCTCTTTATCCCAAGACATTTCGGTGTTAGGTACTGGTGTCCAAATCATAACCATTGTTTCTGGTTTGAGGTAGCCAGGTAAAAGATTTTCATTTGAGTTCTTAAACAGCCCGACTTGGTAACCATACAGCATTGCATTCCCAAATTTCAGAAGGTCACCCACTGTAGACAGAAATCCACCACCAGCCCACTTATAGGAGTTATCCACGTAAGGGGTGTTGATAAGACGTCTCTTTTTATTGTAAACATAAAATCTAAAATGAAATAAGAAGGGTCATTAAAAATTTAATAATCTATTATTGACTTTACACAGGATAATGAATAAGAAAATTCATTGAGACAGATTGTATTTCAATGTATGATTGTATATTAAGCTGCAAACTAACCACTAATTTTTAGTGTGAGTCAGATACTAATGACACACTGATAACTGGGTATGGTAATCTAATTACCTTGTAAATTAAAGCACAGAAAGTGTTTTTTTTTTAATTGGTTTGGTTTGCCCATGCTAAGTATGTTAGGCTTTTAATACTTGCAAAAATATACTGATTAATATTGCAGAATACATTTTCCCTAAGCACATGGAGCAATACTTACCGTTTGGTGGATATTCCTAGTTCTTGGGCTTAATATTGAATGATGTGACACAAGTGAATTTCATTAGTAAAAGTATGAACATTGGGATGTGTGGAATTAAGGTTGCTATTTGAATGAACAGATTTCCTGAATAAAAATTACCCAGAAATATGATAACAATGTGACGTGGTAATTTCTTGGTGTAGTGGGAAAGACTAGAGTTAGCAAACATTGGTCTGAATATCAACTCTCACCTTTACTAGCCATGTTTATTTTATTTGATTAACAAATATTCATATAGTTCTTACTATATGCTAGTCATTGTTCTAACAAGTACATAAAAATGAACTAATTTATTCTTACAACAGTGTTAGAAGGTACATTCTGTTATAAATTACTACTTCACAGATGACAAAGTCACACAGCTTGTAAACGGCAAAGTTGGATTCAAACTCAGGCAATCTGCCATTCCCATTCTATGCTACCTTTCTGCTTCAGCGTCCTTTGAAAAAGGGGGCTTAAAAAACCTGCTTTGTAGAGTTTGGAATATGTGTCTAAGGTACTTTGCATATTTCTGGAAGGTGCTTATTAAAGAAATGGTAGTTGTTATTTATTCATGCATTTAACAATTATTGACAGAAGCGTTATTTACTATGTGCCAGGTAATATTTTGATGCTGGAATAAAGAATTAAGAAGCAAAGCATCTGACCTTATTAGATTTATATTCCAGTATGAGGAAACTGTACCATAAATATTAGGCAAGTGAAATGAAATCACAAAATAACTGAACAAAAAATTAAACTTTACCCATGAGGATCCTTTCTTAGATTTTGGGTTTGCTGACTGCCTCACTTCTAATGGTATGCAACTTCATTTTAGCTCTACTATTCATGAGCACTGTTCAGCTTGAATCTCATTATCACTTTGAATTGTTTTTACTTCTAACATCTTGAATTCAGAAATATCTTCTTCTATGACTTCCAATCCAGCTCTTCAAGTGAATCTCCATCTATTTCCCTTGCTTCTTCCTTATTTTCTCATGTGTTTTAGTCCCTACTGATTTTACCTGCCTTTTCTGTTCTAGCCTGCACTATACCATTAGCGGTTTTAATTATTTTAGCTATGGTATCACTTGCACCTTTGGTTCCTCATTCTTCTAACCTTGCATCACACCAATCTACCAATCCCAAAAAAACTAAGTATGCCCTTCTTTGTTACCCATTTGCCAAGAGAGGCTATATAAAAATCCCATATAACAAAATGGACATAATTTTATACTTTTGCTAAGGGACTTCACTGCTGTTATTAAATCCTTTTTCATTATTTTCCTGGTTATTCCCTGGGTATATACTTCATATAACCTATCCCCAATTCTTCCACCCACAATCCTCTACCCCAACTTTGGTCCCAGTCAGCAGATCACCATATAGTTTTTTTATTGATAAGACTGGAACCATCCAAAGTAATCCAGAAGTTCTTACCGTCACCTCCAAGTGTATTTATATCACCATCCATTCTTTCTACTTTCCAGTCACTTAAGACATTTTCCTATTGTTTTTAAAAGTAATTCTTTACCTGAATCTTTGCCTTGTTTTGCCTCTACAATCTTGCCCTATCAGTTATATTTCTTAGGTTATTTTCTCTACTTGAAGTTCACTGTCCAGTCAGAAGCTAGAGATTATACTCCCCCCACCTCTCTCTCATCCATTTGAAACCCTTCAGTAGTTACAATGCATTAGGAATAAAATCCAAACTTCTTACCATGGCACATAACACACTCAGTGATCCTCAACAGTAGTACCAAGTTCCTAAGGGAATTTTTTGGAGGCATTATTTTAGCTGTTACAATTACTAGAGAGCTCTTAATGGCAGTTAGTGGATAGAGCTGCAAGATCCTAAATGTCCTGTGATGTATGGAGAAGACCCACACAAAAAATGATGTGTTTGGGCTGGGATTGTGWCTCAAGTGGTAGCACTCTCACCTAGCGTGCATGAGGCACTGGGTTCGATTCTCAGCACCACATAAAAATAAAATAAAGATATTTTGTCCACCTAAAACTAAAATAAATAAATAAATAAATATGATGTGTTCTTGCATATCCTGCAAGACCTTCAACTATGCCATCGGAGATTCTGTAAATAAAGAATATATTTATAACTAGCTGAGCCTAGAACCTTCTCCTTGTTATATTTAAACACAAAGTACTTTTTGCACTTTTATTCTACCATTAATTTTTCTTTAATGTAACTACTATGAAAATCAAAGACTTTATTTTACTCAAAACTTTACCCAGAGTTGGTCACCAAGGACACAATTGAAACACCAATAATTTCATCTTTATCAGTCTGCACTGCAGTTCACATTCACAACGCTTTTATGTATTAAATTTCATGTAACTTTATTATGTTCTAAATTGTTGCTAGGAGTAAACTTTAACATTCTGAAAATATTTATTATTTATTATAAATCCCACTCATTCTATTTATTCTTTATAGTGCGGAACAAGCACTTGTGTGAATTATATTAGCTATGACTTTCATTGCAGGATATTGAAGTAGTGTTGTGAAATATTTGTTAAATTAAGGGGCAGTGGGTCTACAGCATTGAAACTCATTGCCCAACATGATTTAGCATCTGCTCACCTCTTAGATCTCAACACTGATAACATCTTGCCTTGTTCTTTTATGCCAGACTTATTTCTGTATTTGTAAAAATAGGCAAGCTAGCTCTCCTCAGCATTCTTGTCTCAACAGGCATGGCCTAAAACTAATGTATTTTAAATAGATCCCCTATATAGGATATAAAGTTTATATCCCATCGCCCCATTTATTTTTGGTACTGGAGATTGAAACCAGGGGTGTATACCACTGAGATATATCCCCAGCCCTTTTTATTTTTTGATATGAGGACTTTCTAAGTTGTGGAAGCTGATGTTGAACTTGTAATCCTCCTACCTCAACCTCACCGAGTTGCTGGGATTATGGCATGCAACACCGTACCCAGCCCATGTTATTTTTTTATATCAATATCTGAAATTCTTAACTTCTTAACACATTTGTCTATCTCTTCCCATGTTAGGTAAGTTTTATAAGGGTAGAAACTTATCTACCACGTTCATTGGTGATTCTCCTACCTTGAACAGTACCTGACATATAGTCAGTGCTCATTAAGCATACTGATAAAATCAAAACATTGTCGTCATTTGCCAGATACTTAATGACACCTGGCAATGCACAGGAGAGATAAGTAAAAGCATACAGAGTGGCTGAGCTCTAGGGGCTAACAGGCTTGTTGGACAATTTTTAAATTTCAAAGCCCTTGAGTCATCTTGGAAATTTTGTTACAATGCAGATTCTGTTTCAGCAGGTTTACAAATTGTGCATTTCTAACTCCCAGATGAAGTCCATTCTGCTGGTTTGCAGGTTTATAAATTGTGCATTTCTAATGCCCAGATGAAGTCCATTCTGCTGGTTTTCTGAGTAATAGGTTGTGAAATGACTCAAAGATGGATCTGGGGAATCCTCAGTACTAATAAGCATGAGCATCACTAAGAGCATGGTGGTTCAGTATGGCTAAGGCAGGAAACTTTTGAGGATAAGTGACAAGAGGTAATGCTGGAGGAGCAGACATGGGACAAAGGACAGATCACAAAGGCCTTTCTGTGCCACACCAAGAACTTTTGACTCTTTCACTTTTGATCACAAAATGCCTAAGTTTCCTCCAAGGAAGAAAAATATCTTCCCACAGCTTCCAGCTGCCAGTTTTCTCTCTCTCTTCCTTTACTGCTGAATAACATGAAATAGTCCACACCTGTTCTTTCCATGTACGTATCCTCTCTATTCATTCTTCAACCCCTTAAAATTATAACTGATAAACAGCTGTCTAATGGATCATCACGCATCTTCTCATTCCTTTTTTCAATCCTCATTTAACTTWTCCCCTGTAGCACCACTGACCCATACTTCCTGGCATTCCTCTCAGTTCATTCTGCTCTCTGGGTGCTCTGTACCCTAAGATTCTCTGCCCTTTCAGTAACCAGTTTGTCCAATTATATAAGGTCTTCTTTTCTGCAGAGAAAACTACAAATATGCATCTGTACCACAACCTCTGCTCCAAATTGACAGCTGGATAGTCTACTAATATTAATAATTCCCCAATTTGGTTTGGGAGAAGGGTAGGAATGATGTTTATCAGTGCCACCTATGGGGCTTCTCCTTCCCAAAATTATACCCTTCCTTCAAAATTTATAACTTTGGAAGGGTTGTAGGCATATAAAGTTTGAAAAATGACTCCTTCTTCTTTCAAGATTCTTCTATGTTCCCTAAAATTTCACATTATAAACTGGGTGAAGTAGGACTGGCAATTAGGAAAGGGATGGCCACGGGTATGTGTCTAACTATTTAAAAAAAAAAAAGTCCACAAAAAATCTCAATATGCTCTTTGAGAACCACTGATTGGATAGGTGGACTTCTCAAAATTCACACGTCTAAAATGAAAATCTCTTGCAAACCTTTTTCATATTTCTTCTTTTCAAATAAGATGTTAAATCCTTTTACCCTTCTCCCTTTTTTTCAATCCCTACGGTCATTTCCATGTTTTAGGCTCTTATTACTTTCAGCCTCAACTCTGATTACACTTATAATGCCAGTCAATTGAGCAAAATAAAATATTAAAGA